CATAAAATTTAAACTTCAAAAACAAAATATTGCAAAAAAACAAAACTACATATACTAAATTTAACATTTTTCAAAAGTTTAGGGGTAGCTTCTCAACAGCTAAAAAGAATTTCGTTAGTTAATGAAATGTTTGTTAAGTAGACCATTTTGAAACAAAATTGATAGTTTATAGATCATTTTGAAAGAAAAAATTGTTTCTAAACTAAACTGAAATAAATCACATAGTTAATAGACTATTTATTGAATTTAGCTGAGACTTGATTTTGGAATTTGAAACCAAATTAGTTAAATAGAGTATGTTATAATTTTGTTTATTCATTGATGTGATAATTCACCTCAAGTGCCTTGAGTTCTTGAATTCTTTGTTTGTTATATACCTACAAGGTAAGGTAAGTAAAATTATGGTAAATGCCCTTAGATTTTAAGATAAAACTTTTAAAAACATAATTTTGAACTGTTTTTGAAGTGGTGGCTGGACTAAACCCGTTTTATACAAAAATAAGCATGATTGGTTTAAAATGAAGTTGTTATCATTTATTGATTAAAATAAACCACATAGTTAATAGACTATTTATTAAATTTAGCTGAAACTTGATTTTAGAATTTGAAACCAAATTAATTAAATAGAGTATGTTGTAATTTTGTTTATTCATTGATGTGGTATAGGTTCTAATTCACCTCAAGTGCCTTGAGTTCTTAAATTCTTTGCATGTTATATACCTACAAGGTGAGATAAGTAAAATTATGGTAAATGCCCTTAGATTTTAAGGTAAAAGGTTTTAAAAACATAATTTTGAACTAGTTTTGAAGTGGTGGCCGAACTAAACCCGTTTTACACAAAAACAAGCATGATTGGTTTAAAATGAAGTTGTTATCATTTATTGATTTGAGCATGCCTACTTGGAGTTTACTAAACTGTTCTGATAACCTAAATTGATTTGTAAATTATGGATTTGTAAATTATGGATTTTCTTATAACTCCTGCTTGGTTTACTCTTCAATATAGTCATGTTTTATTGTGCCAGCTAATGGGAGGGTTATAAATGCTAGAACATGTCAACATGTATTCCTGAAAACTGGTTTGTCCTATTATTCCTACCAGTGGAATAATATACTGGTTATTACTGTGCCCACTAGTGGGAGGTTTATAAACGCTGGCCATGACCTATAAAGGAGACGTCTATTTCATTCTCGTACTTGTACTCGTTTTTTTTTTCTTGATACTTAATTACACTTGTTGGCATGCTATAACTTTAATTAAGGGCTATCTATATTTTTACTTACTAAGTCATGTCACATAGTTTTTCCTTGTCCACCATTTTAGGTAGTGAAACTCAAGACATAGAAAACCAAGGGGAGTGATGAGCTAAAAGGCTAGCCACTTGTTCTTTGGATTTTGATTATTTTAGAGTTAGGCCATTGGTCAAATTATTTTGGACATAGAGTTGTATAAATTTCATGCACTCTTGGCCTAGTAAAGTTTGGATTATAAAAACTAGATTTTATTTCAAGATTTGGATCTTAGTTAGTGGACTGTTAGACATGAATTAAGTAAATTTTGAGCCTTGTGCATTTGTGGGATCTTTCACAAGTGTATGGCGTCTATTTTGCTCCCGATTTTGGGGTGTGATAGTAGTGAACAATTTTTAGGTGAAACCCAAAAACATGAACCTTATGCTCTTTCAAAAGCTTGATCATATAAAGATCGAGGTAATGGAGTAGATTATGTTAAAACTTTTAAATATTATCAATAGTAATGCTTAATTTTTTTATAATATTATATTGAAATATTTTCATGAATTTTTCAAAATAAAAACCATATTAGGCGATCCAATGTAGTGAAAGTGATTTGGGCCAAAGGCTCAAAGGTGATACACACCAATGAGTCCATGAATGTTACTACATATAAAAAGAAACTAGTATAAAAGTTAACAGTGTTTTTGGAATTTTACTAACAATATTTTTATATTATTATATTTTGGTTTTAATATTTACAAAATTTTCAATTAAAACAAAGTACAAATCCATTGGGTCAACCACCCTTATTCGTAGAGCTGTACATGAGCAGGTGGTAGCATCAACCTAAAGGAAAAGATCACCTACCCATGTATTGTAATGATGAGGCGAGGGAGATTAGTGTTAAATATTTAATAATATGAAATATAATATTTAAAATTATTTATCGATGGATTGAAGTTAGTTTTGAATCGCATTGGTTTATTATTCTATAAATTGTGTTGAAAGTGGGTGTGTATTTTGTATTTTATATTTATTTATGACAAGGTAGAAAATCTAATTTTTAGGGGAGATTTTGTCAAAATTTTGAAAGTTTTTGTATGAATTAATCAAAATTATTGATGTTTTAGTGTCTATTATATTATATTTTAATAATAGGGTAAAAGTCTAACTTTTAGAGCAAATTGTTGAAATTAAACTAAATTTCTATTAAATACCCTAAACTTATCATTTAACTTCTACTAATTTTTGCTAGGGAGCACATTTCATTTATTGAAGTTTGTATATGCATTATAAAAGTAATATTTATATTATTATCACAATTGTTATAAAATTTTCCATATTGATATTAACATTTTTTTGTGTATTTTATATGATTTTAGGAAAAGTTAGTATTTGCATATACAAGTAAAGAAAAGGAGGAAGAATTCAACTTTACAAAGTCTACAAAGACCTATTACTTAGAGCAACTTGTGGGGTGAAGAAGGGATGGTTAAGAGGTCTTGACATTTATACCCATCCACAAGATGTTGGTGTTAATACCTTCAGATGGAAACCTTAGAGACCACCAATGATGAAGCACTCTCCCCATGTTGAGGAGTTATAACATACTATCAAATGTTGGGGGATAAGCTAAAAGAGACTTGAGTTGGGCTACAAGCATCTCGAGTTGAGTTTGCTACTTTGTAAGAATTGAATTAAACTTTAACTACGTCATTACAATACTTGAACTAACAACTTGGCATGACACCTCCCTCTATAGCAGCACTACTTCCCCCTAGACATCACATTTGTAGGCCTCATTTTACAATAAATAGGATGTTAGACTTATAGATGTGTAAAATAAAGACAATTTTCTTTATTCCCTAGGACAATTTCTATAAATATTACTTATAGTATATTTGAATATGTAGATTGGCAGAATCTTGATTTTTATATAATAATGTTAAGATTTTGAATCTAGTAATCGATATTTAATTTTACTGTCAACCTTTTTAGAACGCTAGCAATACAAAAAGGTCCTACATAAATCAATAAATATATAATTATCATAAATATAAAAAATATATATAATTGTTATCGAAAACATGTATGTAATTGTCATAGAAGTCATATACATGATTAGTAAAGAAACTCTATACATGATTATTATAAAAAGGGTATAAAAAATATATATAGAGATTTAAATTATATATATTATTATTAACCCTAAAACATAATTGTTATATATTACAAAACAAATTAGCAAAACATAAGACAATTAACCTATGTGGGTGGATTGGTATAATATTGCATGATGATCCATGTGTGACAAGGTTACAGTTTCGAGCACCATACTTAATATTTTTTTCATTAACGATATTTTTCTGACCATTAATGGTCTCTAAAAACAATACAGACCATCTACGGACCACAAAATTCTTCCCCTTTCTAGAACCTTCCTCCTCTTGCACTTTTTCCTTTTCACAATTAAGTACAACACCCCTCTTTCATGCCTTGATTATGTTTCTACTAAGTTTGTGTTCATGCCCTTGTCTACTTTAGTGACCCTAAAGTCCAACGATGTCGGTTATGCATTCCAGGGTGGTTAACAGTGATGGTAGACCACATCATTGCAAAACTATATGCACGTAGATTTAAAGTTACTAACTTTAACCTTAGACTCTTTGGTATTCAAGTGCTTTGGTTCTCAAAATTCAACAAAAGTAGAATGAATTGAGCACAATTTGGAGCGTCAAGCTTAGAAAATGATTCTAGGCATACTTTTTGGACAACTAACAATTTCAAATAGTTATATGGACTGGCAATGGTACAAATATGCCCACCAGTCTAGAACCTTCCCCTTTCAAACTTCTTCTTCTTTTTGTTTAAGGACATGACACATTTCCTATACCTCAATTCCATTTCCACCAAGTTTTTGTTCATGCCTTCCATTACTTCAGTGACCCCAAAGTCTAATGGCATCAATTACACATCTAAGGTTGATTAACGGTGATGGAAGACATCATAATTGCAAAACCATAAACATGTAGATTTAAGATTACTAGTGTCACGCCCCAAACCCCGAAGCGAGACAGATGCCGTGCACTCGTGAATGGGACCCACAAATGCACAAGGCTCGGAACCTACTGAGTTCTTACTTAGCAATTCAGACAATTCAGATCTAAACCTTTTTATTTACCAATATTTACCAGTCAAGATGTACAAAATTTATAACTTCATATATACGATCATGACTAAAATTAAAGAAGTTCTGTACACAAAAATTTCTAAGTCAAGCATGGGTGACTAATGGCCTAACTACAAAAAAATCTAAGTCCAAAAGTGCTTAGCCGTCTAGCTCGTCACTCTCCCGGACTCCCCATGCATCGGGTCTCACTACCTAAAATGGTGGACAAGGAAAACTATGAGATAAACTCAGTAAGTAAAATATGGAGTGCCCCTTATTAAACTTATAGCATGCCAACAAATGTAATCACGAAAAACGGATACAGTACGGAAACGAAATAGACGTCTCCTCTATAGGTCATGGCCAATGTTATAAACCACCCACTGGCAGACGCACTATTTGCTGGTGTATAACCCCCACTAGCAGGGTTACTCGAACGAACTGGTACTATCACTAATATGTCGACATGTGCTAGCGTTTATAAACTCCCCCACTAGCAGGGTCACTAATAACATGACCACATCGGAGACAAAACAGGTAGAAGTTAACAGAAAAACCATAATTCACCAATCACTTTCAGATCATCAGGACAATCAATTAAATTTCAAGTAGGCATGCTCAATTTAATGAAAAGCATAAAAATTTCATTTCAAATCAATCATACTTACTTTTGTATAAAACGGGTTTAGTTCCGCCACCACTTCAAAAACAAGTCAAAACATGCTTTTAAAAACTGTACGGCATAACCATAAATTTACTTACCTCAATCGCATAAAGCAGAAAACTTGCTCCAAGAGCTAGGGTGATAGAATAATCAGGAACCTAGCCAAATATTCCAGAATTAATAACCATATGAAAACTACCTATTTAATCCTTTTCACTATTGCCAGCAATTAACCCCCATAATGCAATATTTATTTTATTTATTTATTTACTTTATTTTACTTCCTATCCGAAATTTGAGCTTTAAAAATCATATTGTGCATTTATATTTAATTTCCAAATCTCATAGACAAAATGGAGGAACCGGCTTAGGCAAAAATAGCTAATTCACGGGAATTTCATAGGATTCTCCCACAATTAACATCACAGCAACCAAAATAAGCAAATTCCACATGAATTAATTAAAAACACAATTTAAACATGCCGAAATCTTCCATTTTTTTCTTGGCAGCATTCGGACAATCACAGGGCAGCCACACAAGGACCAAATTCAGCAAAGCAACCACCAATTAGATGAAATTTGGACTTAAAAAAGTTGCCACATACCAGAAAATTCAGCAAGCAAAACAATTGGAGCTGGTGGTGGGAAGGCTGGCGGGATCTTGGAGGGGAACTAGCATGAAATTGAAAGGAATAAGAACAATTAGAGTGAACCCAACATAAATCAAGGCTTAAGAGATGATTTCATGGTTGTTCCCTTACCAGAAAACTGAAAGCACTCTCACTAGCAAGAGCAGCTCGCGGACAGGGGCAAGGAGAACAGAGCAGATCTGAAAAATTTTTGGTTTAGGGAGAGTTTTAAGCTTTAAATCTTGTTATATAACAAGAAAAGGAAGGGAATTTTACCAAGATCTTACCAATTTTCCAAGAAGAGTAGGTGGTGGTGGCTGGGCTTGGCTGAAGGCTTGTTCGGTGCAGGGGAGAAGGAAATGAGCAGAAACACGCGGCTGAGGAAGAAAAAGAAGGAAAAATAAAATCAGCCCATCCTTATCCTAGTTCTTTCTCTTTTAAGCCCCTTAAGTTTGAGAATTTGATGATTAAGCTCAACAATATTATTTCCTCACAATTAGGTCCCTAGCCCACACTTATTTGTTCTTGAAATTTTTGGGGTATTACAACTAGCCTTAACCTTAGACTCTTTAGTATTTAAGAGCATTGGTTCTTGAGATTCAACAAAAGTAGAATGAATTGAACACAATTTGAGGTGTCAAGCTTGGACAATGATTTTGGCCATCCTTTTCATACCACTAACAATTTGGAATAGTTATACAAACTATCAGTGGTCCAAATATAGCCCTCCATTTTAAAACCTTCCCCTTTTCAAAACTTTTCTTCATTTTGTTTATGGACACGACACATTTCCTATGCCTCGATTTCGTTTCTACCAAGTTTGAGTTCATGCCCTTCACTATTATAATGACCCTAAAGTCCAACATTGTTGGTTACGTTTCTTAGGTTAGTTAATTGTGATAGAAAACCACATTATTGCGAAACCATAAACACATAGGTTAAGGTTATTAGTTTTAACCTTAGACTTTTCAATATTCAATCACTTTGATTCTCAGAATTCAATGAAAGTAGACGAATCGAGAACAATTTTAGGTGTCAAGTTTAAAAAATGATTTTGGCCATACTTTTCAAGCCACTGACGGTTTGGAATAGTTATACAAACTATCATTGGTCCAAATATACCCCTTCGTTCTAAAACCTTCCCCTTTCAAACTTTTCCTTCTTTTATTTAAGGATATGATACATTTCCTATGCCCTAGTTCCATTTCTACCAAGTCAACATTCATGCCCTTCATTACTTTAATGACCCTTGAGTTTATCAACATCGATTATGCATCTCAAGTGGGTTAACAGTAATAGAAAACGACATCATTACAGAACCATAAACACATAGGTTTAAGGTTACTAACTTTAACCTTAGACTCTTCCATATTCAAGCACTACAATTCTTGGAATTCAATGAAAATTAGAGTGAATCAAGCACGATTTGAAGTGTCTATAATTTTCAAACCATCGATGGTTCGGAATGGTTATACAAACTGTTAGTGATCGGAATATACCCCTCTGTTCTAGAGCATTCCCTCTTTCAAACTTTTTCTTCTTTTCATCTAAGGACATGACACATTTCTTGTGCCGTGATTCCATTTCTACTAAGTCTACATTCATGCCCTTCTCTACTTTAGTGACCCAGAGTCTAGCAACATCAGTTACACATCTCAAATGGGTTAATGATGACGAAAGATTATATCATTACGAAACCATAAACACATAGGTTTAAGGTTACTAGCTTTAGCTTTAGACTCCTCGGTAGTCTAGAATTACAAAAATATTTTTGTGCATTAGACAATGGGCTTTACAATTAAGGGATAGCCCTCCTTTTCCCTTAATCCCTTCCCACCCATTTCAAGGTTCAAACTTGAGATTTTCAACTTAAAGTTTCAAGCTCTTAACCACTTGAGACACCTTTTTAAGGGCCACAATACAAACTAGCTTCCAATAAGAAAACATGGCTTGGGTTGAAATAGCATTAATAAAAAGGTTTATAGTTTACTCTTAAAATTTTGCAATTAGTTTTGAGGTGTAGTAAAATTATTTGGAGATATACTAATCATAAATACCAAATATATATGTGTATATTCGATGCAAATGTAGCAACATCCCATTGGCACAAATTCAAATGAGATAATTCCCTTGAAGAAAAAAAAGAAAAGAAATTGTAGTACACTTTAATCCTTATCCACCTTGTCTTACTTTTCTTCAACTCAGCCAACATGGTGTTTTCTTTACCTACTAAAAGTAGACACCAAAAAATGGTTAATTATGGCATCTACTGTTTCTGGCTTCCTATTTACACCCAAGTTTTGTTTCCTCGAGCAACTTCTTGTTTTTCCTTCAAGGAGCAACAATCTAATAAGGTTTGTTGTAAAGGCAATGGAGGAAGCACAAGTAGTTGCACTAGTCGACACCATCCACCAATAAAAGGAGTAAAGCATTCAACAAATAACCTACTTTCTCCTACATTCGAGCTTCCTTCCACTAGTACTTAACTGCTCCACCAAGGTCAAGAAATTATGCTGAGACTTTGATGAAATCATTTGCTATAAATTGTTTTTTGATTCTATTTTAAGTGGGTTTTGTCTACTATTGTAGTTTGGCTATTTTTATGAAATTGAATACTTGCACATTGTTGTAAAGAATTGAGAATAATCCATGTGAAATGATCTTTTTGTAAATTTAACTAGTTCTTTCTTATTATTGCATTCTTTTTGACAATTTCATTGATTTGAATTTAATATTGTGTTAAGATTTTTGTGTGTGTGTGTGTGTGTATATGTGTGTCGAGCATAATGTATATTTCATGAATGTCAATATTTGATTTATCTATATTGTATTAAGCAATTATTGGTAATGCTTGCATCAGAATGGAATGTCTTTATTATTTCTAAATGGTATAATTTAATAAATCATCTATTAACTATTATTTATTTTTCACTTTAGTTTAGATACTTTACTTTCTTTCAAACTCATCTATTAACTTTCAAACTCATCTATTAACTTTCAAAACTGTTTCATTTTTGTCTACCCTCACATAACTCTGCTAGCTCTGTTAACGAAATTCCACACATGAGGACACGTGCTGCCATGTAAGCAGCCACATGACAGAAGCAAATTTCCAACAACAACATTATTTCTCTTTCATTTTTTTTTTTTAATTTTGGCCACATGGTATGAGTAAATTTCCAGCAACATTGTTTTTTTCTTTAGAATTCAATTTCTATACTTTAATTTGCCACAGCTTAAGCTTCACTGTCATTGGTGTTGTTTTGAGTGGCGTGTTGTCAAACATCTGGACTCCTTTGACGAAGCATTTTGTTGGGTCGTCGAATTCGTTTTATAGAACGGCTTCGTACGGGTACTTCGCTAGGGAGATGTAGTGGAATCATATCCAGTATAAGTGAATTTGGTTGCAGGAGATGAAGAAGCAACTAAAGAGGAGAAAGTAGGCGAGGATGGCGACTACTATGATGAATCCAAGCATGATGTGGGAGACCTGAAGTAGAATGTAACGAAGAAGTTCCCGGCCTAAAAGGAGGCGAGGATGGTGAAGAAGAAGAATAGGAACCCATAAAGGCCGTCGGTAAGTCCCACCGTCTAGAAAGTTATGGCAGCGAAGGAGATGGAGAGGACAATTAAGGAAGGGATGGAAATTATGGAGTGGGCAAGGACGTACAATGACCGGTGGTAGGCATTGTAAGCAGTTTCTCGCATGAAGATGTAGCGTTTTTGGATGGCTTCGACGCAAGTGTAAGAGGTGGTGGACATGGCGAAGGAAAAAAACCCAATTTGTTCTTGAACCCCTTTGGGGGAATTGTCCAAGTGCCAGAATATCATTGTTAGGATGAATCTAGTGACTAGAACGACGCCTAATCGGATTCCAAACAGTTCAAGCATTCTTCTTGAGTTCATCATTGATCTTTAGGCAATGACAATCATTTCATTCAAGAACAGATTCACAAATGTGGGCATTGAAGAAGTTAAATTGGAATCAGTGGTGGCTCCGGAGACTAATTTCCTTCGAGAAATGGTTGCACTGATGGCCACTTTGAGTGAAAGAGTCTGTTCTTCGACGAAATTGTTTCTGGGATTAACTTTGTTCTACCATGACCTATTGAATTCAATTTCTATACTTAAATATGTATCTTTGTAGCAAATTTGCTCCTACCAAGTGGCCAAAAAAAAAAGTGAAAGAGGGACAATGCTACTACCTGAAATTTGCTCCTGCAATGTGGCCACTTACATGGTAGCACATGATCCCATATGAAGAATTTTGTTAACAGAGTTAACGGAGGTATGTAAGGGTACAAGAAAATGAAACAATTTTGAAAGTTAATAGATGAGTTTGAAAGAAAGTAAAGTTTCTAGACTAAAATGAAAAAAAAAGTAATAGTTAATAGATGGTTTATTAAATTAAGCCGTTTCTAAATTGAAATTACTAACTTATAATTGTTTATGAATGCTATTACCACTTTGCACGGAATATTTTCAATATTGATTGATGCTAATGGTCTTTATTAGCAATTTTTTGTTCTTTTTTTTTTTTTTTTTTTTGGTTTTGGTGCTAAACGAAGTTGTGGACTACTTTTCTCATCATTATGACTAGAATTTAAATAAGAACCCCCTAACATTTCATAAGAGACTAGTGAAGTATTAAAGTTTCAAATTTCATTGCAACTTTAATGTACACTTATCATTTCATGTCAAGGCCTACTAAATTGTGTTTAGCATAGCAATTTAATTAGATTGATAAGTCTATGTAACAAAAACTTCTCTTACTTCATCTCAAGGGTTTAGAATGAGATTTAGTACCAAAATTGGATGTTCAATCCAATTTTGCAACTAAGACCGCTGTACCTTTATTCTTACATAACACCATCTTCCTTTTTGGTCTAACAACTTCAAAAGTTAGTGGGCTTGCAAGGTACTTGTTGGAATCATGATTAGGAGTAAACAATTTGATTCATGTAGTGTTTCTACAATAGATTCTCATTACGATGAAACTATATTTGTTTCTCATGTGTCAAATTTTATATTAGAAAAATGAAAGTTATGACATCTTGTTGTTAAAAATGTCAAAACTTCTATTCTCCACCCACATGACGGATGAGACTTAAGTGGGACCTATGTTACGTCCCATCCATCTTGTGGCTATAGTTAGAAGTCTTTAATCGAACTTAATTTACACATCCTTATATTATTAATTAGATTCTTTATAGTCAAGATAATTCAGAAACTAAGTGCAAGTCAATCAATGAGGTGATGTTCATGAAGTAACCCTAGTTAGGAAAAGAAATGGAATCGTAGTGTTGAATGCCTTAAAGAGGAAAGAGATGTGTTTTGAAAAGGCATCTTTAGTTTTGCTAGTGCTACAATTCCTACCAAAGGCTTTTGTCTAAGGATGCATAGATCATGATATAGGTAGAATGTGATCCAAGGACTTTGAATTCTAGGCATGGATTAAACCCATGGAACATGTGCTAACACTAGTAGAAAACACAATATAATCAACAATCATTTTTCTGTCGATTATACCAGTATAATCAACAAAAAAAATGTCGATTATAATGATCTGTCGATTATGTGCAATTTTAACCAATACAATCGACAATTTATATAATCAATAATCTTTCTGTTGGAAAATGACTGTTGATTATATTTAATCGACAATTTTTGGCTGTCAGTTATGTATAGGCCATAATTGCTATTGATTATGGCCTAAAATGACATTGTTTAGTCTATATATGCATATATTTTATAGGATGAGAAGTTAGTATATATTTAATAACTTAAATTAGTTTTAGTTATGAAGTATTATTATAGTTTATATTAACAAATATATAATATTGATAAAAAATCTAACATAATCTTATAGTAAAATGAAAATAAAAATACAGTATAATATTTTGTAAAGAAATAGCACATCTTTCCTTTTATCAAACCTATAATTTCAATAATTAATTATAACATCAAAAAAAAATTAATTCTTACTAACCTTAAAACCAAAAATTTTATAAGAGAATCAATAAAAAGAAACTAAAAGGAAAAAACCAAAAAATAAGAAAACAAAAAAGAAAGAATTAGATAAATCAAACTGACCATTAGTTTAAAGAAATAACATATCAGTTTAAATATAAAAATTAAAAATACAAAAAAAAAAGAAGATAAAAAAAATTAGAACATAATCGACAGCCAAACTGGATTTCAATTATACTTATAATCGACAGCCAAAGTGGCTATCGATTATACTTGAAACCAACCCATTCCATCGAAAAAAAATTAAATCTCCAAGCTAATTTAATTTGAAATATATTCGACAACCTTATTTTAATATAATCGACAATATTTTTGTTGAATATATTTGCATTATAAAAGGGCCCTAGTATCAAAACATCTGATTGTCATATCTTTTTTATCTTTGGTTACCTCTTCCTTTCTCCTTCTTTTCCACAAGTAAAGCGTCCTAGTTTTTCTCTCATCTTCTTCTCCTTTTATTTTTCCTTTTTCTTTCATCTTTTATACTCTCCCATTTATATTTTTGTAAATATCTCTAGTTTTATTTTATTTCTCATTTATGCCTATTTCATTATCTTTTTTGTTGACAATCCATCATCTTTTTTTTCTTCATCCTTCCCATTCAATGCATTTTTTTTTATGCATCATCCAACTACTTCAATTTAGTTTTAATTAAGAATTCTTATTATTTGATAGACTAATAGTTCCTTTTTCTTCTTCTTCTTTTGTGTGTGTGTGTGGATTTTAATACCATAATTATGAGGTAAAATTTTCTTTTAAATTTGATTTATACTTTTTATTTCCTTTTCTTTTAATAAAATCATAATGCAATTTTTTTCTTATTTTTGGCAAGATATTGATCAAAAAATAATTAAAGTTAGAATTCTCATTTTAATTTTATTTACGTTTATCTTCTATTTCTTATATTATATAATTCTTATTATGTCATAAATATATTGTTGGGGGATTTGATAATTGTGTTGAATTTTGTTTCACTGTTTTTTATATAATTTAATTTACAGAAAAAACTATAAATATAATTCTAAAATTTACTAAATTCTGTATTTTTTTTTATTTTTCACCAAGTATAATCAACAATATATTCGACAACCAATGATTGTGGATTATACATTTATATTTAACAAAATAAATTTCTATCGATTATAGTCATTTTCTACCATTGTTTTTACAACATAAATGGTTGTCGAATATGTCTGTCGATTAAGTTATAATTAACAGAAATCCTTGTATAATCGACAGTATTTTCTGTCGATTATATTGTGTTTTCTAGTAGTGTAAGGGACTTTTGAATCTTATTCCTTTGGCTTTTTTCCTAATGTGGTTTTAGCCCTTTTAGCTGAGCCCCCAAGTCATAATATGCTTTGATGACCATGGACCTTCTTTAATTCAATCAATTCTTACTTTTTTTGTCACTAGATCACCTAAATATAGCTTGTTAATCTTTTTATTTATCTTAAGGAATTCTATGTAATCAACTATTGATAAGGAATGGATTTAGGCTAAACAGATTTAATAAGAGATGATTTTTAGTTGGTGGAAAGGATGGCGAGAATAGTGAAAAGTTAATGCCAAAATTAGTTAGATGTTCTCTTAATAATTATACCTGTCTAACAAATAATTAGTGTTAACTAATAAAAAAAGAAAGTTCTACATATCTGTCATCTCTAATTTTAAAAAAATATGTTTGAACGCACAAATTTATTCATGTATTATAAATATATAATATGCATCTTATATATGTTTATTCCTTATGTGTTTGAAACTCAATTTATTGATGTTTGGTATGCTACCAAACAAACACTTATGAAGTTTTATCATCTCTTTGTGCATATGCGAACAAGTGAACATGTCTGGAGTAACATACTTGCCATTTTTAATCTAGATATAAATGATTAATGTTTCAGTTAACATTATTTATGTAGTTAATTACTTGACATCATTGTTTTGTTTGTTAAGGTATTGTCATTATTTGATTATAATTAATATTTATTGTGTTGTTTTTTTCTTTTCTTTACTTATTTAGTTTTCATATTTTTCGCTTTTAAGATCATATATGGTTTTATAGTGCGATCTAAATTAAAGTTCATTTTCATTCAAAATGAATATTTAATTTAATTTTTCAAATACTAATGCTATTTATTTTTCCTTGTTCTATTTTTTCCAATTTTCATTGAGAAGTTTTGTTGCATAATTTTGTAGATATCGAGTTTCAATTTGAAGGTTCCTTTTGAAGAACCCAAGTCAGTTTGTTACTGACAATAGTTTCACATCTTATCATCATGACTTTTAAAGGATAAGAGATGCAAGATGTGAGGATTTCTAGCCACATTTTTCAACACATTCTTATTAATCTAAGCTAGGAAATTATCACTATCTAATTACCCTATGGGTAGCTTTTATTCATATTGTTCAGTGCTTAAAAATTACTGACAATATTTGTGAATAAAGTGTACGTTACAGTGTGAATTTTTGCTTAGAAAATAATGGATATAAAATTGTCTTTATGGCCCCTTTTTGGCATCCTTTTTCATTCATTTTTCTTTAAGTCTTTCAAGTGAAATATAATCAAAAACTCCAGTCACTACAAGAAAACCTAACTTCACCGACCACATATCACCGAGGTAAGAAGTTTTCTCGGTAAAGCATCCATTTACCGACAAGAAGTAAGTCTGCAACTTGAGAAACAGTAGAAATGGCAGTAAGATATATTATTTATTGTACAGATGTAACACTCGTCGATAATTTACTAAAATACATACGTGTTACTTGTCGATAATTGCAACCAACACTTCGGCCGGTGGGGGAAGGACGGAAAGGCACATCACCGACGAGGAATACGCCTGTAAATTTAATTTTGGAACGACAGTCTTGTCGGGAATTGAGGATCAATTTCCAACGTCCATCTTCTCGGTAATTTCCACTCCCAATGCACCCCCCCGCCAACCAGCTGGCTGCCTGCGTCAGGGGTGCAGCTTTTTGATGAAATTTCCGACATAGTGCTTGTCGGTAATTTGCCATTCAGCAACTCCCCACGAATCCGACTGGTGGCACTAGTGTTGCAACTTTTATTTTGATTGCCGATAAGATATAGGTCGGTAATATGTCCATTGCCAACTTCATGCTTGTCGGTGATTGTCCGGTCAACGGGAATCCTGATGCAACACAGAGATGAGCAGCTTTAGACTGTAGCAATGTGGGTTTCGTCAGTCAGCTTCCCTATTGCCTTGCCGACCCGCCCTTCTGCTTTCATTTTGGTCTTTCTCCTTTCATTTTCATTTTCCTCTTGTCCCGAGTTGCTCTTGCTCCCCTTTCCTCCATTCTTCCCTTTGAAGCAGTTTAACACATTTTTCTTGTTGCAGTATAGTGGATCAAGCAGTGGTAAGTAAAATTTAAGTAGTATTATTATTTTTTATATATTTTATGTATATTTTATTTTTTTTGAAATTTAAACCGTTAAATATTGTTATTAATTAGTTCATATTAGATATTGTTATTAAAATTTAAATATTTTTTTTATATATTTTAGATATTAGTTAATATTATTAGATTTTCTTTTAAATAAATTTGATGAATAGTTATGAATAATGTTTTTATAAATTTTTAGTGAAATTTCAACCATTAATGACAAATTTTTATATTAAGTATTTGATATTAACTAGCATTTTCAGATTTATTATTTTGAGTATATATATTTTAGGGTGAATATATATAATTGTTGTGAGTTTTGAAGGTTTTATATGGGCAAATTTTCATGTCTTACCGTTTTCTGCATTTCGTAGCTTTTAATTAACTATAAAACATTGTATTTTTCATAGTTAAAGATTAAAAAAAATATAAAAAAAG